ATTTTCCTCCTCCTTTAGATAGTTCTATCTTACCATTAGTTATTAGGAAGCCCTATCGTTGGATGCAAAGGGACATGCAAGGGTCACCGTACAGTCATAAAGGCAACTCGTAGGGGCGCTTTAGCAATTTATCGTAAGGGACTAAGATCGTTTAACGAAGGCAGCATCGAAGGGTCATCGAGGGACTACGATCTTTTTAACTGAGGGTCTTTGCCAAAGCGTCCCCAATTTCAAGGGACGTAATTGTTTTTATTCGAAGGTAACAAGTGGGATTACCCTAGAGGTGAGTGTGTGGAAAGTGATTCAGTTCAGTTATTTGATCTTGAATAGGGTTATCTAGCATTTTGTTTTAGATCTTGCCATACATGCCCTAATTACTAGCAGTTATAAGAAAGCCATTAAATTGCGGAAAGTAAAGGTGCAAAAAGTAAACCTAAACTATTACAAGGCTTTGGGAGTGGGGGTACAAACCATAAAATCGGGGGAAAAAGAAAGCAAATAAGAACCCTAATTAAACTATTACAAACCGTATCAGTTACATAATTGGAAAAAAAATAAACTAATGCGAAAGTAAATATGAGAAGTGGTAAAATGAAGGGGAAAAGAAAATTGAAAATCGTTTTGTGATCATTTGATTATTAATCTAAAAAAACCCTAATTGATTTTAATTTAGAAAAAGAATTAGTTGATTAAAAATAATTGATTATTTAAGCAAACCCTAAAATCTAGGTTAATTTTAATTAATAAAAATGTCAAAAATTAATCACTAATTAAAACCCAAATCCTAATTTGTTATAGTTTTGAAAAAAAGTTTATGGTTTGTTAATGGTCAATTAGAAAATAATTAGCAAAAAGAAGAAAGAAATTAGGGTTAGTAAAAGAAAAGAGTGAAAAAAGAATGAAAAATGTATGGGCTAGGTGTTGAACCCACGCTCCCTATGTCAACAACATGCACTGCTTTCCACTAAGCCATGCGCCTGTTTATGATCTGGAATGGGAATGATTCCACTTGATTTAATCCTGCGTTAATACCTGAGAAAAACAAAATAAGTTTGCAAAACATAGGGATCGAACCCACGCTCACAAGGTTACGTATCCTAGTCTTTACCATCTGTGTTGCGCTGCATTTGTTATTCAAACATAAAACAAAACAATTATATAACAAAAACAAAAAAATTAGGGAGGTGCCAGAGCCCTAGCTCCGGTCATCATCTCCGACCAACTAAAATGTCAACCTACAAAAACTAACCCCCTAAGAGGGACCCTATCCCCCTAAATCGACCCTCCTGAATCCAATGGTGGTGTTAGTTTTTCCTAATAAAGCTTGTATGTAGAGATACGAAGAAAACAGTTCCTCGTGCCCTAACAACGGTGTTTTGTTATTCCTATGTCAAAGCTCACAAATAATGCATCAAAATAGTTCTAATGACGTATATGAACACATATGGATGCGTAAAATTAGTTAATAATGCATAAATTAACGGTTTGAATTTTGAGAATATTACCAAACCGGTGAGTTTGAATGAGGGAGTTTTGGTGTGCTTCAGCCTTGAGCAAGGGTATGGATCGTCTTCTGGTAACTTCAGGAACACGTTTGAATGCTTGTCTTGAACTGCAACTGCTTAGAACTTGTAATGCAACTTTTCCCTAATCTTGAAAATTTTGTGACAAAACCCTTGTTTCTGGAGGCAGCTTTCACGTGTATTTTTGGTGTGAATGCAATGTGTATTTATAGGACAATGATTTAGGTCAAGAAAATAGGATCATATCTTTGTCATTCATGGTGAAAATATTTGATTGAAAATTTGTATGAAAATCTTCTATATTTGCTCAATCTTGTGCCAATCAACCTTGCACGTTTTCTTGGTCTTCGAGACACATCCTTGGCCTCCAATCTGATCATAATAAAGGTCCATGCGCCTAAATTCAATGGTTTCATATTTTATTTGATTTAATTTACTTTTAAATGAATAAAATCCAAATAAAAGAAATAAATATCATAAAAAATATGTGAATGGACTTAGGGGTCTTTAAACATGTCATGAACATGTTTATGTCTGAAAACTTAGGCCCAATAGCTCAAAATTAAAAATTTGCTCAATTTGGAATTCATGCATTTGCCTAAAATTTCCCAATTTGCAATGGTCATAACTCTCTCAATTTTTATCTTTTGAAGGTCATCCTTTACTTCTGATCAAGGTGCCCTCTACAACCTCTGTGTTGATCATTTTATCTTTCGAAGAATTTATCTTGATGTAAGTTGCCTTAACAAAAAGTGTCTTTTTGTTGACTTTTGAAATGACCTGTAATGTATTGGCTTATATCTCTCAAATGATGCATTTTTTGGACTTGAGCTTAGAGAGAAAAAGTTGTAGAGAATTGAATTTCCATCAAAATGAGTTTGGTTGGTGAAAATATGATGAAGCATGTGAAAGTTAGGCTTGGTCAAAGTTCAGTTGGCTTCTCCTAAGGAAACCCTAATTTGGCAACTTTTGACTTTTGATGATTTGAGGGATTTTCTTGAGGAATCATGATTAACCCTTGATCAAATGATGAATTTGGCTTCAAAATGTTGATGTTAACCAAAAATCTTGAAGTTCGACTCTATGTTGACCATGGTTGACTTTTTACCCAATACAATTGATTTTCAGTCATGTGAGCAATTGACTTGAGCAAACTTGTGATGTAAGGCTTGAAACTTGGTTTGAGAATTCTTTGGAGCATATGAGGGGTCATGAAAACCACTTGAGACCCTGAGAACCAAATCTTCCTTGAGAAATACCAAACCTTAGTTCTGGACCCATTGCCTAAGAGGAGGATTTGTCTGATCAATTCTTGAGCTACCTTGAACATTTAAGGACCTTTTTGAGAATGCCTTAAAGAAAAATGCGAAGGAAAATTTTGGGGTACAACAACTTCCCATGTTCAATCTTCTTAAACCTGAAGGGTTATATTGGCATATCCTCCATTCGTGACTTGAAGGTAGAAGATGATTGAACACTTAAGTGCCTAGAAATTTGCACTTGCATGTGCACGAAGTAACATTGTTGGTTGATTATACCAGGAATGGGCTTAAAGATTCCATTTGGAAAGGTTACAGAGAGTAGTCAGAGATGGGCTTATAGATTCTATCCAAAGTAACTGTTGATAGGAATATCAGAATAAGTCTACGTCTAACTTTGTCTTAGAAGATGTATTTGGAATGAGTCTACGTCCTGTAGAGGTAAAATCAATGAAGTCACCGCCGAGTATTTATTTATCCCATACAAGGGAAAGGAAAATCATCAAAGAAAAACCTAAAGGGGGAAATCAAGGTCTAGCGATCGAGAGTTTGGGTAAGGGAGTCGATTACGCGAGGGGAAGGCATTAGCACCCCACACGTCTGTAATACTCTATGGGATCCACTGTTCTAATCAAAGGGTGTATTCGATCTAATACTTAAGAGTTATAAACTAGGAGGGAATGCATGAAAATAAAAACACGGGGAAAAGAAGGAAATATTTATAAATTTTCGCTCGGCTGAGCCCCGTGACCAGATGCCTATGTATCCCTTTTAAGGAATCAGAGCGCCGTAGTTCGGCTCACATATTTTATTTATTTGTATTTTTAAATGAACAATATTGAATTCAATCATTCCACCGCTGCTCGACCTTTGGAGACTTACGACCTGCAGTGGAAAGGAACTAACATGCTCTTAGAAGAGAAAAGCCGAATGGCGAAAATAAATGGATTGGTTGGTATTTTTACCATGAAAAGAATTTTTGTATGCTTAGCATTTTTTATGCATTTGCCCAGAAAAAGAAGTTTTTATTTTGAATGCAATTATGCCAAAATGGGAAGAAAATATCTGAGGGATACTAACCTATCTCTAACCTAATGTTATCATACAATGAGGGATCCTATCTAAGTTAGCATGCCAAAGAAAGTCTAACAAACTATCCTATAGGGAACATACAATGAGAGCAAAGTCATGATCTCAATTTCTAAATTTAGTGACTCATCGATCAACAAGAAATAAAGGAAATCGATAAAATCCTATAGGGAGCATGCACTGAGAGTGAAGTCATGATCTCAATTTCTAAATTGAGTGACTCATCGATCAACAAGAAAGGAAACAAACACAAGCACAACACATATAAGAAATGAAGTGCGGAATGCCTGCTACAGGTCTTTAAACAGCGACTTCGAGTGCACGCTTATTATTTCCTACTTCTCATTATATCTAGAAAGAGATAAATGCACAGAAAAAATAAATTGGAAACTCAGACATGTACGCATATCAAACGATGAGCCTGCATAAGACCCAACTCAACAAGCAAAGGTGAATCACAAGTCTCAAGTAATCGCAAGATTAGGAAATAATTTTTTTAAAAATCGAATGAGAAATCTAACAAATTTTTATTGATTTTTGTAGTTTCTTACCCTAAAAAATAAGAGGCAATCCTAAAATATCTATTTTTTATTGTTTTATTATATGTATTTTATTACTATTTTTATTATACTAAAAAAAAACTAAACTAAAAAGATCAAATCTACAAAAATAAAGGAAGTAGAAAGAGTCAGGGGGTGCCAATATTGGACCAGGGGTGTGGCCAGAACCAGAATGCTAAGGACCATTGACCAGAGTCCAATGGAATCTTTTTTTAACTGCAGCTCAAACTTTCTAAAAAATGTAGGACATGGGCTTAGAAAAGGGTGGTTCGGCCCAGACTACAAATCCATGAGGAGCACTTTTTTTCCAATACCCTTAAACTAACCGAAATAGATCAATGGGGCTCAGGGGGGAATTAAATCTTGCCCAACAAAGGACTATCAACGAAATGGATTTATTGACTTTTTATTATTTCAAATTTACTTGATAACATAAAATAAATTAAAAAAAATAGATAAGTGTGAAAAGTGGTAAACACAATGTTTTGAGCCTTGGGGATTAGGGTTAAGCAGAATGGCAAATCAGCTTCTTCATGGAAAATCTCTTCCTCTTATCTTTTCTCTTCAACATGAACAGCAGACAACAAGCTTCGCTCTCCTCCATAATCTCCATCATCAAAGCTTCAGGGCTTCATTATTCATTATGGACTCAACATCATCTCATCATTTCTCCTCATCCCTCAACGAACTCAATCCACCTCACAACTCTTGAAACCAAAACGGAACACGATGCGGATACCAGAATGGTATGCTCAACTTCTTCGATCAACACGTCATCATCCCTTCATGTCTTTAATTGGATTCTGTCGATGCAAACCCTTCCGGCAGTTCTCGCCCCCAAATATCTCCGAGCGACACATAGTTTAAAAAATGCAACAAGAATTGAATGGCAATGAGGATCAAAAAGAGTTATCTGTTGAAAGCAGTCAGGTTCCTTTCCGGTGCAATTCTGATGTTGAGCAATCAAATTCAGCAAAGTCAGGTATGAATCTCCCAGTCTTTTCTCCTTCTGCGTGCGCTCTTCTTCTATAATTTTTGCGATTTTAGATCTCTTTGTATTCTGTGCGTTCTTGCAAATGAAGAGTGAATCGCTAATGATGATGATATAGAACTCTTAACGAAGATGATGATTCAAGGTTGAATCGATGGAGTTGCAGAGAGAAAGTTGAGCAAGTTTGAAGATAGTTGATGAAGATTGAAGAATTGATGCAAAGAAGATGGTGAAGGTGTGATGATGATGAAGGATGAAGCAGAACGGTGAGAATAACGATGGAGAGTGAAGGTTGATGAAGATAGAGAGAATGGAGGCTTCAAGATGACCGAGAATGGAAGGTTGAAAAATGACAGGGCTCCCCCAAAAGGTGAGTCTTCAATCTTTGTTATCTATTGTGAATCCCCCTCTTCCCTTCTGTTCTGAATCTGTTAGCCTTTTGTTTGGAATCTGTTAGCTTCTCCTCCCAATTCTGTTATTTCTGTTCTCAATTAGTTAGCCCATTTTCCTCCCTTCTATTCTTTTGTTAGAATTCTATTATAAAGCAGTAGAAATTCTATTATATCAGAATTGACCTCAGCCTTTAATTTTGATTTTTGGTTATTAGATCCAATGGATGAGTCTCCTCTGATATAATGTTAGGTACGATTGTTATAGAAGTTAGAGATTTGGATCAGTAGATGCAATAGATTTCAGTTATGATGGTTAAGAATTCGGTTGAAAAATTAGTTAGAGTTGTTATAGTTATTTCTGATTTATTTTGAGTTTCACTCTCCTCTATTTATCAGTCTTTTTTTCTTATTATTGACAACATTGACAGCTGCTGTTCCATATCAAAAAGGTTCGTTTGATCAGGCTTTTGGGTGAATTTCATATATGTTAATAAAGCTGGGCTAGATCCACAGCCAATTGCAGAATTCCTTAAATGCCACAAATCCTAGCTCTGGATGTTGTTTTCTGTGGTAATAGTTATATCGTAACACGACTGAGTGCACATGCTTTGCAACTCTCTGTTGTTGAGATAGTGGATGATGATCACCAGTAGGTAAATTTTTGACAATATGCTTGCTTTCTTCTTCATTTTTAGATGGAAAAACTATAGAATTGCTCGCACCTATATCTGGCTTCCTTGACAGAATCACACTGTTTAACTTTACCGCAAGCATTGCTCTTTTTCTAATTAAGAGCTTCAATAGTATCATTTGAGTGATGTTGCACTGATGGATTTAAAATCTTTTGATCTGCTTGGCCAACTGGTTTAGTAGATAACTTTTCTGAATTTGGTTTTATGTTTAAACTAGTTTATTGTGTTGTCGGCTAATCTGTTTTACAAGGCTGCATATGAATTTACTTACTTTTCTCTCTTGTGTTTGCAGCACGACATACTCCCGATATTCATGTGAGCTTGTGTCAATTGATTGAAATAGGGTTGTTTCAATATATGGGTGAATTGAGAGGAAGCATTGGAATATGGTTGAGACATTCGAAGGCGAGGCATGAAGTTTGAATTGTAGACATGAATCGGTGGAGATGGAAGCACCAAAATGGTAGCCATTAGGTTTAGGATTGGACATAGGTTTTATTTACGATTGGTTTGTAATGCCATGTAAAAAGGACAATTTGTCTTGTTTCTTGAATTCCAAATAACTAAACTTGAACGAATATGGAAGTATTTGAATTTCAATCTTCAATTGAACGAAACATTCGAATCTATGACTTGTGGTTGATAAAATCTCAAGTAACTTTGTAATGAAAGCATATTGGTATTTTTTTTTGCATTTTTGAATAGAAATTTGTTCATGAATAAAGCTTTGAATAAAGTCGAATTTTGATGATTTTAATGAACATTTGTGATTGGAACATTGATGACATTTGATAACCGTGAGATGACTTTGATAATGATGTGTCTCGTAACTCACTTTATCCAAGACATCCACATATATGAATGTTTTAGTCTAGCACTTTTGAATTATTTTGCGACAGGTCAATGTTGATGCCATAATGAAACCATAAATCAAAACCTTGAATCGCCTGGTCAAATTAAACTTATAGAACATTTGGATGAAGCTTTTGATCTTGAGTCCACATACCTTGCAGCTGAAGCAATTCATTTTAATCGAATGACTAGTGACTTTAGTTCATGCTTGTGTCATGATTCATGTTTTTGCACTTTAAACCTCGAAGACATCCTAGCTCGATAATGAACAAACTTGCAACAAGATTAAAGCTGTGAGGAACCAATGGAAAACAAGCGACAAGACTTGGAGTATCAAATCCAATGACCTTCAGTTAAACTATTGAGAAACTCTACCGTCATGGATAAAAACCCTAATCCGTTTATGAGTATCATAATGAGAATAAGATGCCAATTCAATCCTATAAACTTCTTGAAAAGAATATCTTATAGTTAAGACAATTAGGAGGAAACCCCAATTCTCTTGATTTGGATGCACAATGATGAGGAGACGACTTGAGGTATTGGGAGGAATCAAAACCCTAATCTCGTACCAAGAATGATAATGCACTAGTTGAATCAATTTTGAGTAAGATAGAAAACTCAATTCATAGAGAGAAACCCTAATGTCAAAGCTCTTCGATATTGTGACCATGGGACCAATGCTATGTGTGAGATGTACAGAGTATGGTGAGGGATCTTAGGGGGGGAAATTAGGGTATAACACGTCTGACTTTGTCCAAAAGAATATCAGAGTGAATCCACACTTGATTTTATCTGAATGATGCAGTAGAATGAGTCTATGCTCGACTTTGTCTAGAAGATACGTTTGGAATGAGTCTGCGCCCGACTTTGCCCAAAAAGAATATCAAAATAAATCTACGCTTGATTTTATCCGAATGATATACTAGAATGAGTCTATGCTCGACTTTGTCTAGAAGATATTTTTGGAATGAGTCCAACTTTATCCAAAAAGAATATCAGAATAAATCTACACTTGATTTTATCTGAATGATATACTAGAATGAGTCTACGCCCAACTTTGTCTAGAAGATACATTTAGAATGAGTCTACGCCCGACTTTGTCCAAAAAGAATATCAAAATAAATCTACGCTTGATTTTATCCGAATGATATACTAGAATGAGTCTATGCTTGACTTTGTCTAGAAGATATACTTTTCAGAATGACTCTTCGGGGAAAGTGATTAAGTAGCTACTTGTCGGATTTAGTCTCTGAGGGAAATTTTCTGGTCATGTAGATAGTCGCCCCGTCCTGTTTTAGGAATTACTCTGCGACCTGTTAGAAAATTGTTGATGATGTTCGTCTATTTGTGAACTTTACCTGAAAAGATAGAGTTAATATTTTTGTAATGTCATGATGTATGTAGTGCATTGCGTAATGATGTTCTTAAAGAAAATTAGAACGTTCTATATGTGTTTTGTATGCATATGCTATGATAAATGATGTATGAATGTGATATGTCGTTGAAGTGTATCGGTAGCTTTGCATAACATGTTTGATCGAGAAAATAAATCCCAGACTACTCCTGGGGATGGCAACAATAATTCTCCAATATTGTTTAGAATGTCTTTGCTGGGGACTCCTGCTTTCTGTTTGAGGAAACCCTGCTGGGGGATTTCATTTCTGCTTGGGGAGAAGAGTTCAAGAATATTGGTCGTTCATCGCTCTACTGGGGAGTTCAGTTCTTATATGTCCTGACTGGGGATAAAAGAGATGGATAACCATCTGAGGTGCTATCTGACCGAGATTTTGATGTGGATGCCGACCCGTCTAGGGAGGATAACATTAACTGATATTTGGTCCAGTTTCAGATTTTCGTAACAATTCTCTAGGGATAGTGGTCTGGACTATCCTTTGCTAGAGAGAGAAGTTTTTCCGGTGATTTGCAGTAGTCAGAGAGATAGACTCAGGCCGGGGAGATAGTATCTTGTTGGGGAAATAAACCCTGTTGGGGAAATAAACCCTGCTGGAGAAATACTCTGCTGAGGAATGTGCTCTGCTGAGGAATTTTACTGTGTTGGAGAAACAAACTCAGCTGGGGCAAAGAATTTCTGTGAGCTGTGTTAGTGACATACTTTTTGACGAGTATTGGGACTCTACAGGTTGACGACATTGCTGGGAAAAATCAAACTCCTTTGTCTGCTAGGGAATTCGTTGGTGAGTATGATTAGGGTATTTTAGACTTGTGGGGAATGTGTCGAGTTTTGTGAAGATGACTCCACAAGGGATATTCTTATGGGGACTGCTATGTGGGGATTATAGACGAATTTAACATTATCCTGTCTCCTATAATCTTGAGTAAATACTTATTCCTGTTTTTATGTATACATTTGTTAACAGCAATCAATTCATATGCATATGTTCATTCAATTTAGTCATTGAACGTTTTTGCAAACAAAACAGAAAAAGTAAAACAAATTTTGAATTTTGAAATTGTGTTTATATTGATAGTTTGCCTAAACAGGCGATTGTTGTACAAAGAGACATAAGTCATAGTAAGAGGAAATAGTCGTGAAATGAAAGGAGTACAAAATATATAGCTATGTGTAAATGATCTTGTTAGGTTTCAACTTTGTTTGCCCCTATGTCTTTGAGCATCTCATCCATTACTGTCAAAAGAAGTTGACCGAATCGACCTGTACAATTTAAACTTGTCGTTGGTAATAAAGCTGATTATGACTGATCCAACGGGACATAGTGATACACTTTAATCCCTAACTTTTTCCTAGACCTCCCTTTCGGGTTTTCCGTCCACCAAGATACCCTTTTTTTCCCAAGCCGCCTTTTTAAGTTTTCGACTTGCCGGGTGTACAATCTTTTATATATATCCCTGATTTTTGCCCGAACCCTTTTGCTCCGTCGGGATTACCTTATTTTTGCCTAGGCCAGTCAACCTAGCGGGTCGTCTTCATGCGTAATATTTTTTAATTATGTCCGTGTTCATAGGGCGTGGAAGATCTTCACCGTCCATGGTGGTAAGTATCATGGCACCGCCCAAAAATATCTTTTTGATCACAAATGGCCCTTCTATGTGGGAGTCCATTTGCCCTTGGGATCACCCTGCGGTAGGATGATGCACTTTATTACCAAGTCACCATCCTAATATACCTGATGCTTGATTTTCTTATTGAAATCTTTGATCATATGCCTCTGATACATCTGACCATAACAGATAGTCGCAAGACTTTTCTCGTCAATTAAATTCAACTGGTCCAACCTAGTCTAACTCCATTCGTCTTTGTCTAAGTCTGCATCTTTCCTAATTCTCAAGGAAGGAATCTGAACTTCGACAAGTAAGATAGCCTTCATACCATAGACTAGAGAGAACGGGGTTTCCCCAGTTGATGTCTGAGCTGGAGTACGATAGCTATGGAGAGAAAATGGTAACATCTCATTCCAGTCTTTGTAGGTCACAACCATTTTCTGCATAATCTTCTTAATGTTCTTATTGGCGGCTTCCACTGCACCATTCATCTTCAGTTGATACATAGCAAAATTATGGTGCTTGATCTTGAACTGCGTACAAAGTTCTGTGATCATAGTGTTGTTGAGATTGGTACCATTATCTGTGATATTCCTCTCGGGGATGCTATACCGACAAATAAGGTTATGCTTAACGAATCGAGGGACAACATTCTTAGTAACGGAGGAAAATGAGGCTGCTTCAACCCACTTTGTGAAGTAATCAATGGCGACGAGGATGAAGCAATGTCTAATGGAAGCAGTAGGTTTGATCTATCCAATCATATCAATGCCCCATATTGCAAACAACCAAGGAGAAATCAAGACATTCAGAGGTACTGGAGGCACATGTACTTTGTCAGCATAGATCTGGCACTTGTGACAAGTTCTTGAGTGGTGATGCCAGTCAGTTCCCATAGTTGACCAATAGTAACCCGCTCTCAGAATCTTCTTAGCCACAATATGTCCACTGGAATATGTACCAAAGACACCTTCGTGCATATCTTCCATAATCTTCTCTGCCTCTTTCTTGTCCACAAAGTGAAGCAGAGTCAAATCATGGTTGCGCCTGTACAGAATCTCGTTGCTCAGGAAGAATTTGGTTGAGAACTTCCATAATAATTTCTTGTCATTTATAGATGCCCCTTCAGGATACTCTTGAGCCTCAAGATATCTTTTCACTTCATGAAACCAGGGCTTCTCTTCTACTCCGTCAGTGTCAACTTCGTGCTGGTTCGTCTAGCTTTTCAATAGTAATTTGAGGAGCCTCGTTGTCCCATCTGACTTTAAACATAGACGACATGGTTGCTAATGCATCTGCCAGCTGATTATCTTCCCTTGGGATGTGCTCGAAAGTGATTTCCTCCAAGTATGGAATTAAGGTCATCATATGCTCTCTATAAAGAATGATGTTTGCATGCTTTGTATCTCATTCTCCCTTAATCCGACTGATTACCAGGGTCGAGTCCCCATAAACACTCAAGAACTTGATTCTTAGGTCAGTAGCAACTTTAATACCCATGACGCACGCTTTGTATTCAACCATGTTATTTGTACAGTCGAAGCATAATATGGTAGTGAAGGGTGTATGGCAACCCTGAGGAGAGATAATTACAT